TGTAATTAAAATTAACTGTTTAGCATTGTGATTGGATGAAAGTGTTCATGCATGCACTCGCAGGAGCTTCGTGCGAGGACTGGAAATCCGCCTTAATAGTTGGATCATGCGAAGAAGAATTGTAATGTATCTTTATAGTGAAAAACCTCATCTTGATCAACTTTTTTCACTGTCAAAGTTTCCGGATATGATGTCATTAGTCACCTAATGACATCATATCCGGAAACTTTGACAGTGAAAAAGTTGATCAAGATGAGGTTTTTTTACTATAAAGATACATTACAATTCTTCTTAGAATGACCCAAATATTACACGTACTAAGAATCATATTTGGGGTTTGTCCCACTTGAAGTATATGAGCTCAGGACGGTACCAGTGACCGAATGACTGAAGTTCTTGCTCCATATATATATATATATAGGTCACTGAACAATACTGTGTTGAACTGCTTCGTTCTTTGATATTAAAATTCCGTTGTTTTTTTTGTCAAGGATTATTCTAATTCACGAATTTTTGCCAACTAAAACCCGCCGGTCAAGCGAGGATATGAGAGTCGATGAGAGTTAGCAGTCACGCATTGTCACAAAGGACATTTCAAGCTCTAGATTAACAAAATAAGGGTTTGATGAGTGTTCTAACTATGTTTTAAGTTAAATAGAATACATGATAGTGTTGGGAAAGCATTAAGAACAGCTAACCAAGATCGCGTGACTGCCAACTCTCATGCACTCTCATCCTCGTTCATCCAGGCTGAATGAGGTCAAACTAATATGACTGCTTCAGATTTCTCAGAATTATCGTGACATTCTATAATTTTCTCCTTTTTTAAGATTTTGCCTGGTAACACAAATTCACATTCAATTGTAAAAACCGAACTCGACGCACCGTTTCTTGCCAATACCGTACGACTTGTTCGAAATACCATCTACCGCAAAGTGTGTTTGAAGTTAGAGATATATGGATGTTACCCAGGTACGATAACAAGAGATATTTGAATGTTATCCTATGGGTGATTCCAGCTTTAGACTAAATTTTGATCCAGGCAAGAAGAACGAAATCCAACACCACAGCTAGAAAGAGCGTCTTAGAATGAGTAAAACTTCAAAGATTGGTTGCTAAATGTTGTAAGATGAAGAAAATATAGCCCTGTGAAGTTTGCAAATGTTGTATATATATATATATATATATATACACTTTCGGCTCAAAAATGGTTATTTTTCCCGCGCGTAATTCAAATATATACAAAATTTGCGAACTTCACAGGGCTATAATTTCCTCATCTTACAACAATTCGCAACCAAACTTTGCAATTTTACTCATTTTAAGATGCTCTTTCCAGCTGTGGTAATGGATTCGTTCTTCTTGTTTAGATCAAAATTTCTTCTGCAGCTGAAATCATCCATTTCTTTATATAAATTTGACGATTCTTCCAATACTAGATAATCCATCCTTCATTGTCCATACTGACACTGTAAAGCTTGGTGAACAACAATTACAGATAAAAGGTGAGCTAAATAATTTTATGAAGGGTAGTATATTACTTGATCTTTCCATATTCTCTTATGTAGTAGTAACTGATCCCGATTAATTTTTTATATGATCCTTTAGCTTCTTACTTTATTTCCAGGCAAATACCGTTATTGTCCAAACTGCGATAAGTGTCCTGGTTGTATTAAAAGTTTATGCCTTCGAGTGTTCGATAAAAAGTATCTTGTGTCGTCATACTTTGCCTACGATTGTATTTATCACGACTTTGATATCACCGTTCAACCTTCCGTGATGCCTGGTCGGCATATAGTACATGTAAGTTATGATTACACATGTTGAACCTCTTTATCCATTATCCTTCACCATCCAGCGGACACTTTCACAACAACAGCATTAACACAACAACGACGACGACAGCGACAACAACAACAATAGCAGCAACGATAACAACGACAACAACAGCAACTACAACAGCAACAACAACAACAACAACAACAACAACAACAACAACAACAACAACAACAACAACAACAACAACAA